TCAAAAGGTTGCAAATATATTTGAGCTTGCCTCAGCTGCTTTTAAGAAAATGGCGGATCTTACGATTGATTTGAAGATCTTTCAAACACAATCTGAACAAGGTCCGTCTACAAGCAGCCGTTGGACAATTATCGAAATCGAAGCTCTCAAAGAAGCCGTCGCTCGTTTCGGAAATGATCTCAATAAAATCGCAAACATGATTGAGACCAAAACTGTCACTCAAATAAAACATAAATTGAAGACTCAGGCTCTTGAAGGACCCACTTCTGACCGTGTCGAAGGCGAAGAAAATGATATTAAAGATATTGATGAGTTTGGAGAAAGTGAAGTGCGCATCACCGAACTTCCTCCCGTTTCAACCGTGTCTGTTGATCGCGGTAGAAGAAAACAAACGTTCTCAGAGCGAAATGACTTAGAGTCTTCTGAAGCGAAGGTGTCTTTTATTATCGCGATTTTACTTGATGTTGTGAACATTTTCAATCAACTTGTTTTCTCTTAGAAAAGCCGATTAGACACAACTTCATCTGTACCAGTCGTTAGACAAAATACCCCTATTGCCGTTCGCCCTTCAGCTCCGATTGTTCAACGATTACCAGTTGGTGTTGCTCCTACTTCCTCTGCTTCTGTGAAACCTCGCGTTGCCACTCCTTCCGCTTCTGCTATTCTTTCTCATGCTCATATGCGCAAACAAGCTATACCACCGGCTGATCCAAAATATGAAGATTATTCTGATGTATGCTCGCTAATTTTTCCATTTATTAATCATTGCATATTATTTTTAAATTAAGTGATTGGACTGTTTTTTTATAGTTTATATTGATTTTGAGGGCATTTGTTGGATGTTCCGATGAGTTTTCAATTTCGTATTCATTATTTGCTTTGTCTGATTTGCTCATCGTGATTATGTTGATTTAGGTTTATTGTGTTTGAATATTCATCTTCCATTTTGTAGCATGTATATTTATAATAGTTCAAAAAATTTAACTTTAAAAATACTTGTTTCTTTTATATTTGATTGTTCTGCTTTTTCTTAAATGGTAAGGAATTCCATTGATATCACCAGTTGGATAATTCGTGTTGAACGTGACTTTCTGTGGGTTAGTTCTTAATAATATCCCTTCAACTTAATTGTTAATTGGTTAGAAAGACGGGTTTGGGGGAAGCATTTGTTTGTGTTACTTTTACCCTCCGTTTTTGCTTAAAGTGCTTTCGATCACTGCTTTTCTGTCTCACTTGTAATTTGTTCAATATTTCCTTTTAAAATTCCGGTATATCATCTACTCTTCGTGAAGTAGCATTTGGGTGTTTCAAGAATCTCTTCAACACTGCCTGATAGTACGATGAAGAGGTCATGGGTTTGTTGAGGATTTTATTGAACTCTAATTTGTGCTCAAATCATATTTTGCAATGAATGTTTGAACAAAGTAATGGATATGCTGGAGTACTGTTGTGACTCTTATACTAACCCTAATGGTCATCGATACCCCGACGGTAGTATGTTCAGCCACTTCATGCTGTCAAATTTTTCTAGCTTACTTTTATCTCAACTTCAAAGGATCAATAATTGCCTGAATTCAGCTTCTCTTTAGCAAACAAACTGGAGTTCATAGTCTGTGCCGTGATTGTAAGACAGGATACAAATTCTTGTTTATTCGAGGGATTATTGCACTTGAGACATCTCATCAATCTGTTCTTCTTATTTCTTACTGCATTTTTAGGTTTGTGTTACTTGAAATTAATTTTTTTTCTTTTCTGAATCTAAATGAGTGTTTACAATATTTTGAGCTGGGGTGTGTGATAGAATTACCTCCACGTGGTGCACCCTGGTCAACGTATACTCATACGGCAAAAAAGTCTATTATTCGGCAGTTGACTTCTCACTTCACAAAAAAGTCTATTAACCGGCAGTTGACTTCTGACTACTCAAACGGCAAAAAAGTCTATAAACCGGCAGTTGACTTCTGACTGAAAAGGTCTATTAACTGGCAGTTGACTTCTGACTTCAAATAAAAGTCTATCAATCGGCAGTTGACTTCTCACTTCAAACTAAAGTCTATTACCTGGCAGTTGACTTCAAACTACCATGAGTAAGTCTATTAACTGGCAGTTGACTTCTGAGTTCAAACTATCATGACCCCAAGTCTATTAATCGGCAGTTGACTTCTGACTTCAATTACCATGATCTATTAACTGGCAGTTGACTTCTCTATGTCATATTCGAAGTCTATAAACCGGCAGTTGACTTCAAACTATCGGCAAAAAAATTCTATTAACCGGCAGTTGACTTCTGACTTCAACGGCAAAGTCTATTAACTGGTAGTTGACTTCTCCGCATACGGCAAAAAAGTCTATTAACCGGCAGTTTTCTTCTCACTTCAAACTACCATGACCCCCCTATATGTCCTACATTCTCATACGGCAAAAAAGTCTATTAACCGGCATTTGACATGACTTCAAACTACAATCACCCCACTGTATGTCAAATTCGACTACTTGACTTCAAACTACCATCATCCCACTCTATGCCATATTCGCATGGCAGTTGACTTCTCACTTCAAACTACCATCACCCCACTCCATGCCATATTCGACTATTTCCACAGTACTTACCTCATCTTTTTTACTCTACCTTTGTGTCTCTCTCTTTTACATCTTTGAAATACTCCTCTGTTCCCCTCCCCCTCTCGACTTTTTTTCACTTTGATGTTCCTTCCTTCTTGAAACCCCTCTCGACTTTTTTTCACTTTGATGTTCCTTCTTCTCTGTGAAGCCTGAATATGATAACCATCAAACCGCCTGCCATTTGATATAAATAAATACTCTTAGAAATCAAAATGCCTGCCATTTGATATAAATAAGTAAATATCTTGAGCTATACTCTCGTCGTGAATAGGGACTTTTACCTTGACACTATGTTTGATTTACGCATTCAGTAAATTAACGTAAACGAAATTGGCAATACTTGAAAATCCCGTCTTTCGGATCAGCGATAAATGGACGCTAAATTGAGAAGCCTAATCCTCTTTCCTACTTAATCTTATTGAGTAGTGTTTTTTTCTTTTGAATTGACATTAATTTTTATCTCCCACTTTTTCTACTAGCAATACTTAATCGTAAGCGATTGATAAGCGTCTTCGCTTTTTATTTAGATGCCTTTCCATCACTTTGACATTTCTCATTAAGAATCTAATTCGAAGCCTGCTGCGAGATCGATTGGACCTCCTTTTGACTAATATGTAGAGGAAATTTAGATTTTCGATTTTCTTCAACACAAGATGAGATGGAAGAATGATGATATGTGGTTAAGAGAAATATTGGACATGTCGCACGCCCATCACTTAGCGTGTGCGCTGAAATGGGGTTGAGGAAATCGATGAACAACTCGATAGAATTCTTTCCAGTTAGCACACTGCAAACTGAATCTTACTCTTCATTTTAGTTTGATGGGGACGATCCCTACGAAGACGTACATAATGGGGACGATGATGATGACGATGAGATCTCTGACGAACCATACTACTCAGAAGAGGAAGGGGAAGAAGAGTCGCCTGATGGTGGTGAAGGGAATTAATATTCTATCGATTGCTTCTCTTCCCCTCACTTCTAACCCCTGCATTTTATCATGAATCCCATTCGGATTGGTGCCTCTATGTAGATATTCTCCTCCTCCTTCTCGTTGTCAATTTTGTATGCTTCCCATTGAGATGAATATGTGTGTGTGTGCATTTTGGTAAATGACGATTTACCTCCACCCCTTCTTTATTTTATGTATGTTTATGGAATAAAATTTTATGACCCAATATAATTGGTTAGTTTACTTGTGGAAATTGCCTTTGGGGGGTCTCACTTGTTTTTTTTTAATATTGAATTGCGGTCCTTATCAAGTGTCACTCGGAGAGAACTGTGAACTCTTCTAATTTGGGTTCTATTTCTGATCAAAGATTTAAATTAACCCTTTGAAGCCCTAATTATTTGTTGAAAAAAAACGCCCGACCGCACTCACGCATGTCTCTCACAGCAGCAGACTAATGTCGCCTACGTGAGGAGTTCTGTTGGTATTATCAGGTGAAGGCTATGGACACGTATTGAACATGTTTCCAATGGTAATAGCGCCTCCTGGTACGAATCAAGCACCAATGGAGCTTATTTCGAAAGAGGACCCTACGGTATCGCAGAACGTTAATGGGTTAAATCCACAATGATTACCCAAGAGATTTTATTATGTCTAATCTGAGCTGTATTAATTTGCATTGCAATAATTACTTCTGAAGAAAAGGGGTGTACGATAGACTCATTTCGACGTGGTGCACCCCGGGCAATGGGTAATCATACGGCAAAAAAAGTCTATCAACCGTCAGTTGACTTCTGACTTCAAACTACCATGACCCCTCTCTTTGTCGTATTCATCCCCTTCCATAGTACTCATCTTACCTTATCTATGCCTTTGTGTCTGTCTGACTCTTTCATATCTGTGAATCACTATTCTGTCGCCCCTCTAGACTTTTTGTCACTTTGATGTTCCTCCTCCTCTCTGTGAAGCCCGAAGACAGCTAAAGAGCTACTGATAACTATCAAAACGCCTGCCATTTGATATAAATAAATCAACTTCTGAAGAAAAATACAACTTCCCCCAAATATGCTGAGTGATTGCTAAAGTTTCTCATCCACTTTAATTAATCTTGAGGCGTTAACTGTTAACTACTAATTTCGCTAAGAATGTTTGATTTCTGCGGGGTCTTAAGTCGATTTAGAAAGCCTGTTCAATCTTGTAAAGAAGGGTTTATAGGGCTTTCGTATCAATGCAACATAAACTAGTTAAAGATGCGCCCCACTGCATGGCATACTTTGAAATTCTCTCAGCATTTAATGAACGAAAAGGTCGTTCTCTCTCTCTCTGTTTCAAGCTTTACGGTGCGTGGATGATTGGTATAAGTGCTTTAGGTTTGATTCCAAATTGAATGGTTGGAGTTCCGGATCCTATTTCAGAACAATGGAAAGAAACATATT